GTTTGCTGGTATAAGCTTCTGATAGGTAATTGACTCACTTTCAGGCCTTTGTAGACGGCGTCAAGGCAAACGTCAGGCACAACTGTTCCATACAAACCTGTTACAGCGTAGAGAAAACACTAAGATCAAATCATAACTTATGCCAAGGAATCACATTACTTTAGATTTATGGTGCATGTAAAGCTATAATTTTGCCTTTATCATCTTTTCTTATCATATCTCCCTAAACTACGGCCAAAAGCTACTCTTAAGCGGTCGCGCCGATGACAATATGGAGACGATCAAAAAACGTTTGGAGACGTATAAAACTGCAACAGCTCCGGTTGTAGACTATTACAGGAAGAAGAAGAGACTACATACAGTATGAAACAGCAATGAATTCTTTACTGTGCTGATATTTCAATCGTGCCCAATACGTTTACAGATCAAAGCACATGGAACTGTTGATGAGATTTTTGCTGAAGTTTCCAAACACTTGGATGAAGTAGTAAAAAAGTGGGCTCTTATAACAATACTAGCCATTATCAAGCTCTATTTCGAAGATGCTAGTGTCGAAAACAAGCTTAAGGAAAAGTTAGACTGTTTCTTGAACTATTTAGTCCTTTGTTCAGGAAGAAATCTGTGGAATACTACAGATCGAAACTGAATACCATTGCAAGAAGTGTGGTAGACTTGAAAGCATTTCATAAAGCTAAAATTCCAATATTTTTCATTGTTGGTAAGTTGAAACAACTCTGCTATAAGAAAATTTAAACTATGAAAGCTGCGTAATTCTAGGAGGCCCTGGATCCGGAAAAGGCACCCAATGTGAAAGGATTGTTGCAAAATATGGTTTGACACATCTCTCTTCTGGTGAACTTCTACGAAATGAGGTAGAGATGGAGGACCTATAGCAATGAAAGGTTAAGTTTGGCTGATTTAGGTTAAATCAGGCTCCCCAAGAGGATTTTTGCTTTCTTATATCATGGAGGCGGGAGAACTGGTTCCCTACGTGAGTGAATTTCTTGTTCATTAAGACATCAGTTGATCAATTGTTTGTAGGAGATAGTTCTGGATTTACTGAAGGAAAATATTGTTAAAGAGGTGAAAAAAGGAAGCAAAGGCTTTCTTATCGATGGCTATCCCAGAGATATCAAACAAGGAGAATTGTTTGAGGACGAGGTTAGCCCGTGCTTCATGGCACTTTCCATGGGTTTTTGAATGGATTTGAGAGTTTTTCGTTTAGATTCAAAAAGCCAGATTAGTCATATTCCTCGATGCTCCCAGTGATGCACTCATCGAACGATTGTTGAAACGCGCCAGGACAAGGTGTGCTTCATAGCTTCACCTTAAAAATCATGTTGAAGCATTTTTTTTTAGCGGACGCTCTGATGACAATATAGAGACCATAAAGAAAAGTCTCGAAACATATACTACAAAAACAGCACCTGTAGTTGATTACTACGAGAAGCAAAATAAGCTCGTTAAGGTGACATAATTCAGTGTGTAAACTCTTACGGCATTACTACATTTCTAAGGATTTTTATACAGATCAACGCAGAAGGCACAGAAGATGAAGTATTTGCGGAAGTTGTAAAGCATATTGATGGACTCATAGAGAAAAGGTATGAGTAAA